CGAGGAAGCCCGCACAGGCCCCCAGAATACGCCCAGGAGGCATCCAGAAGGCCTTAAGAAAGCACGAAACAACTTTTGCGAGGCCCCCAGAGGCTCTCCAAGAAGGAGCCTCCGCAAAAAAAAGCTGAGGAGGATGGGGAGAATGTGCAGGGAATGGCGAAAATGAAGAAAAAGAAGCCTGGAGGAAGGAAACGAATAACATTATTATAGCGGCGATGCCGGAAAAAGGCAACAAGGAGTTATCGCTAAATCGTCGGTTTGACCTTTCTGCTATTCCGCTTGCACCCCGAATTTCAAGGACCAAGGTGCATGGCGCGAAGGGCCACTGCAGTCTTGTATGTGTATATGTTTACTTGTATACTTCCGCAGGCCGAAAGATTTTTCTCTTGAGCCCCACATGTCGGAAGCGACGCGCCGTTCAGGCGAGCGGATACATGTAGCGCTCGCTTCGAGGTGGGGTAGATCTGTTATGGGTGGAGATGCGGGAGTTGGCCGGGCCCGCTGTGGCGTTCGAGCAAACTTATGTTATGGGAGGACTTTCGGGAGATGGCCAGGCCCGCGGTGGCGCTCGAGCAACCACATGTTATGGGAGAAGTGAAGGGAGGTGGCCGGGCCCGCTGTGGCGCTCGAGCTTCCGACTTGGACACTTTGCTTGTGTGTCCTCGCCCTCCCTCATCCCTTCCTCTCCTCCTCCTCCTCCTCCTCCCACTTCCCCCCTCCTCCTCCCACCTCCTCCCTCCTCCTTCCTCCTTCGTCCGTCCGCCTCCCTCCTCTCTCCTCCCTCCTCCCTCATCCTCCTTCTCCTCCTCCTTCTCCTTTTCCTTCCTCCTCCCCCCCCCTCTCTTCCCTGATTATTCCTCCTCTCTCCCCCCCTGCGTCCCCTCCATTCTCCTTCCACCTCCTCTTGCCTCTTCCCTCATCCTTCCCCTCTTCATCCTGGGAAGACCCCCCTCCCCCGTAGAATCATAGCATTGGTCTGCACATCCACAGCTCCGTGGATAGCATGGTGCTTCACTTGCGGTGCTCCGCGGATCTCATTTCCCCTGGGTCCAAGATGTCGGTGACTATTTTAATATATTAATTCCCGGGAAATAAATGGATCCTTTGTTTTATCACACACAGGAAATTGGATCCGTGCAACACAGAAATTTGATCCACGAAGCTCTCCCGCATCCGAAAAAGGGACCCAACTGGATCCATTGATGTTCTCATATTTTCAGCTCAAGAGGACACACTTTCGGCCTGGTGATGTATTTATATGTGTATATGAGTGTGTATGTGTGTGTTGCTCCAGGACTGCCGCTCCTTCGTGTGCAACAATATGGTTGCTTCTCGGTTACGAGGCCCTGATGCGATAGGCGGGTGGCAGTTGATTCGTTGCCCAGAGAAGGCGGATGTCGTGCCCCCGCGCGAGTTGTTGCGATTTGTTCCAACGGTAAGCCGGCCAATTGGCGCAAGGCCATGGTTTTTTCCGCCGCACGAGCCAGCTCCTTCGTTAGCGCAAGGTGTTCGTGTCCAGCCGTGGATGCCCCCAGTTCTTTTTCTGGATTTCCCCCAGACTTCCCCCAGCCATGAACGCTCCCCAGACTCTGACGGTCTCCCCTGCGATCGTTTTTGATTCATCTTTTTGCCGATCGGCGCGTGGAGTAGATCTTGGCTGTTTTTGGGCGCCTGCTTCGAGCAGGTGGAGTCTCCCCCATGGGGCGCACGATTGCATACAGTCACACTAAGCAGAGGTCCGGAGGCAGACACCCCCTCCCCCCCCTTTCCGCCCAATGTCGAAACGCCGAATAAAAAATGTTCACCCTGGAGTTCCACTGGGCGTCCTTGGCGTTCCCTCGCGCGGCGGGGCCTTGAGCCTGCTGGCCACGCAGCTCGCTCGCAGGGGTCCGAAGATCACGGCGCTTCGCGCGGGACGCTGCCTGAGCGGTGGAGCTGTCCTTTTTCGCGGGGCGGCGCGAGGGCCACCCCGCGGCTCCACTTGTGTCACCTCCGCAGCCGCTTGGGCTCAAGGTCCAGCGGCCCAGCACGCGCTTCGCTTGGCCTTCCGCCAGCTCCGCTATGCTGGCTGCGCTGCTGGCGTGGGCGACGCTGCGTGCCGTGTGGGCGCCCTGGACGGCGGCGCCCGCTGCATCGGCTGCCCCGGGGGCGGCGGCAGGCACGGCGCCAGCACCGAGAGTGCGCGCTGTTGCCCCAGCTGGCCTGCCGGCTGGGCCAGGCCGTTCAGGGAGCGCCGCGGGCCGCCGCGCCGCGCACCGCAGCCTCCGAGAGGGTACGCTCTTCTGGGCCGCGCCCGCGGGGCTGCCACCGGCCAGGGAGTTCTCTGCGGCGTCCAGCTATTCACTCTTGCCGCCAGGCTGGAGGGTTTCTCCGAACGGCTTAGGCGACCCGTCCTCCTCCTCTCTCCTCCTCCTCCTCCCCCTCCTCCTCCTCCTCCTCCTCCTCCTCCTCCTCTTCCTCCTCCATCTCCATATCCTCCTCCCCCTACTCCACCTCCACCTCCTCCTCTTCCTCCTCCTCCTCCTCCTCCTCCTCCTCCTGCTCCTTCTCCTCCTCCTCTTCCTCCTCCTCCTCAGAGCGCGTACACCTATGGCTCCAGTCAGTACCGATTCATCTGCACAGGGATATACACAACTACGACTACCACTGGCACGACTGCGTCGGCGTCGTCGCCAGCCACGACCACCTCGTACCAGGACTACGCGCTGCTTCCCTCTGGCCAGACTTGCTACGAGGCCGGCATGCAGGACGTAACAGGACATGCGGAGTGTTTTGGACCTGCCATGGCGCTGCTCAACCTCAGCTCTGCTACGACTAAGGATTATACCGGAGAGTTCATGTCTTTCACTTGCGTGTACGTGGGAAGTACGTCAAGTATTTACTTTGGGGATTCCACCTCCGAGACAGCCGTGGCTTCCCAGAACTACCAGTACATCTGCATCGGTGTCCTGACGTCTACCGCAAGCAGCAGCACGACGGGAAGCAGCAGCACCACGCGCAGCACCACTAGCGCAACCAGCAGCACCAGCGTGACCAGCACGACTGCGACCAGCAGCCTCACGAGCTTGTCAGTAACGTTGTCAGCCACGACCACATCGTACCAGGACTACACGCTGCTTCCCCCTGGCCAGACCTGCTACGAGGCCGGCATGCAGGACGTAACAGGACATGCGGAGTGTTTTGGACCTGCCATGGCCCTACTTAACCTCAGCTCTGCTACGACTAAGGATTATACTGGAGAGTCCATGTCTTTCACTTGCGTGTACGTGGGTAAGTCAAATATTTACTTTGGGGATTCCACCTCCGAGACAGCCATAGCTTTCCAGAACTGGCAGTACATCTGCATCGGTGTCCTGACGTCGACCGCAAGCAGCAGCACGACAGGAAGCAGCAGCACCACGCGCAGCACCACGAGCGCAACCAGCAGCATCACCGTGACCAGCACGACTGGGACCAGCAGCCTCACGAGCTTGTCGGTAACGTTGTCAGCCACGACCACCTCGTACCAGGACTACACGCTGCTTCCCCCTGGCCAGACCTGCTACGAGGCCGGTATGCAGGACGTAACAAAACATGAGGAATGTTTTGGACCTGCCATGGCGCTGCTCAACCTCAGCTCTGCTACGACTGAGGATTATACTGGAGAGTCCATGCCGTTCACTTGCGTGTACGTGGGAAGTAAGTCAAATATTTACTTTGGGGATTCCACCTCCGAGACAACCGTGGCTTTCCAGAACTACCAGTACATCTGCATCGGTGTCCTGACGTCGACCGCAAGCAGCAGCACGACGGGAAGCAGCAGCGCAACCAGCAGCATCACCGTGACCAGCACGACAGGAAGCAGCAGCACCACGCGCAGCACGACGGGAAGCAGCAGCGCAACGCGCAGCACCACTAGCGCAACCAGCAGCACCACCATGACCAGCAATACGGGAAGCAGCAGCACCACGCACAGCACCACTAGCGCAACCAGCAGGACCACCGTGACCAGCACGACAGGAACCAGCAGCACCACGCGCAGCAGCACCAGCATAACGAGCAGCATCACCGTGACCAGCACGACAGGAAGCAGCAGCACCACGCGCAGCGGCACCAGCATAACGAGCAGCATCACCGTGACCAGCACGACTGGGAGCAGCAGCACCACGCACAGCACCACTACCGCAACCAGCAGCACCACCGTGACAGGAACCAGCAGCATCACACGCACCAGCGCCAGCATAACCAGCAGCACCAGCGTGACCAGCACGACTGGGACCAGCAGCCTCACGAGCTTGTCAGTAACGTTGTCAGCCACGACCACATCGTACCAGGACTACACGCTGCTTCCCCCTGGCCTGACCTGCTACGAGGCCGGCATGCAGGACGTAACAGGACATGCGGAGTGTTTTGGACCTGCCATGGTGCTGCTCAACCTCAGCTCTGCTACGACTGAGGATTATACTGGAGAGTTCATGTCTTTCACTTGCGTATACGTGGGAAGTAAGTCAAATATTTACTTTGGGGATTCCACCTCCGAGACAGCCGTGGCTTCCCAGAACTACCAGTACATCTGCATCGGTGTCCTGACGTCGACCGCAAGCAGCAGCACCACGCGCAGCAGCAGCGCAACCAGCAGCACCACCGTGACCAGCACGACGGGAAGCAGCAGCACCACGCACAGCACCACTAGCGCAACCAGGAGCGTCACCGTGACCAGCACGACAGGAACCAGCAGCACCACGCGCAGCAGCAACAGCATAACGAGCAGCATCACCGAGACCAGCACGACGGGAAGCAGCAGCACCACGCACAGCACCACTACCGCAACCAGCAGCACCACCGTGACAGGAACCAGCAGCATCACACGCACCAGCGCCAGCATAACCAGCAGCACCAGCGTGACCAGCACGACTGGGACCAGCAGCCTCACGAGCTTGTCGGTAACGTTGTCAGCCACGACCACCTCGTACCAGGACTACACGCTGCTTCCCCCTGGCCAGACCTGCTACGAGGCCGGCATGCAGGACGTAACAGGACATGCGGAGTGTTTTGGACCTGCCATGGCGCTACTCAACCTCAGCGCTGCTACGACTAAGGATTATACTGGAGAGCTCATGTCTTTCACTTGCGTGTACGTGGGAAGTAAGTCAAATATTTACTTTGGGGATTCCACCTCCGCGACAGCCGTGGCTTCCCAGAACTACCAGTACATCTGCATCGGTGTCCTGACGTCGACCGCAAGCAGCAGCACCACGCGCAGCAGCACCAGCATAACGAGCAGCATCACCGTGACCAGCACGACGGGAAGCAGCAGCACCACGCATAGCACCACTAGCGCAACCAGCAGCACCACCATGACCAGCAATACGGGAAGCAGCAGCACCACGCACAGCACCACTAGCGCAACCAGCAGGACAACCGTGACCAGCACGACAGGAACCAGCAGCACCACGCGCAGCAGCACCAGCATAACGAGCAGCATCACCGTGACCAGCACGACGGGAAGCAGCAGCACCACGCATAGCACCACTAGCGCAACCAGCAGCACCACCATGACCAGCAATACGGGAAGCAGCAGCACCACGCACAGCACCACTACCGCAACCAGCAGCACCACCGTGACAGGAACCAGCAGCATCACACGCACCAGCGCCAGCATAACCAGCAGCACCAGCGTGACCAGCACGACTGGGACCAGCAGCCTCACGAGCTTGTCAGTAACGTTGTCAGCCACGACCACCTCGTACCAGGACTACACGCTGCTTCCCCCTGGCGTGACCTGCTACGAGGCCGGCATGCAGGACGTAACAGGACATGCGGAGTGTTTTGGACCTGCCATGGCGTTGCTCAACCTCAGCTCTGCTACGACTAAGGATTATACTGGAGAGTTCATGTCTTTCACTTGCGTGTACGTGGGAATTACGTCAAGTATTTACTTTGGGGATTCCACCTCCGAGACAGCCGTGGCTTCTCAGAACTACCAGTACATCTGCATCGGTGTCCTGACGTCGACCGCAAGCAGCAGCACCACGCGCAGCAGCAGCGCAACCAGCAGCACCACCGTGACCAGCACGACGGGAAGCAGCAGCACCACGCACAGCACCACTAGCGCAACCAGGAGCGTCACCGTGACCAGCACGACAGGAACCAGCAGCACCACGCGCAGCAGCAACAGCATAACGAGCAGCATCACCGTGACCAGCACGACGGGAAGCAGCAGCACCACGCACAGCACCACTACCGCAACCAGCAGCACCACCGTGACAGGAACCAGCAGCATCACACGCACCAGCGCCAGCATAACCAGCAGCACCAGCGTGACCAGCACGACTGGGACCAGCAGCCTAACGAGCTTGTCGGTAACGTTGTCAGCCACGACCACCTCGTACCAGGACTACACGCTGCTTCCCCCTGGCCAGACCTGCTACGAGGCCGGCATGCAGGACGTAACAGGACATGCGGAGTGTTTTGGACCTGCCATGGCGCTACTCAACCTCAGCTCTGCTACGACTAAGGATTATACTGGAGAGTTCATGACTTTCACTTGCGTGTACGTGGGAAGTAAGTCAAATATATACTTTGGGGATTCCACCTCCGAGACAGCCGTGGCTTCCCAGAACTACCAGTACATCTGCATCGGTGTCCTGACGTCGACCGCAAGCAGCAGCACCACGCGCAGCAGCAGCGCAACCAGCAGCACCACCGTGACCAGCACGACGGGAAGCAGCAGCACCACGCATAGCACCACTACCGCAACCAGCAGCACCACCGTGACCGGAACCAGCAGCATCACACGCACCAGCGCCAGCATAACCAGCAGCACCAGCGTGGCCAGCACGACTGGGACCAGCAGCATCACGAGCTTGTCGGTAACGTTGTCAGCCACGACCACCTCGTACCAGGACTACACGCTGCTTCCCCCTGGCCAGACCTGCTACGAGGCCGGCATGCAGGACGTAACAGGACATGCGGAGTGTTTTGGACCTGCCATGGCGCTACTCGACCTCAGCTCTGCTGCGACGGAGAATTATACTGGAGAGATCATGCCGTTCACTTGCGTGTACGTGGAGGACGCCTCAGCTGTTCACTTTGGGGATTCCACCTCCGAGACAGCCGTGGCGTCCTTGAACTACCAGTATATTTGCGTCGGTGTCATGACGTCGACCGCAACCAGCAGCACCATTACCGCAACCAGCAGCACCACCGTGACCGGAACCAGCAGCATCACACGCACCAGCACCAGCGCAACCAGCAGGACCACCGTGACCAGCACGACCAGAAGCAGCAGCACCACGCGCAGCACCACTAGCGGAACCAGCAGCACCACCGTGACCAGCACTACAGGAACCAGCAGCACCACGCGCAGCAGCACCAGCATAACGAGCAGCATCACCGTGACCAGCACGACTGGAAGCAGCAGCACCACGCACAGCACCACTACCGCAACCAGCAGCACCACCGTGACAGGAACCAGCAGCATCACACGCACCACCACCGCAAGCAGCACGGTCTCGGAGACAATCACGAGCGCCACGTCCTCGCTGACGTCGTCGTCAGCCACGACCTTATCCTCCGTTGACTATGCTCTGCTGCCCGCTGGCCTGACTTGCTCCCAGGCCGGCATGCGGGACATAACCAGCTCCGCGGAGTGTTTTGGACTTGCCAGGGCCGTCGTTGGCTTTGGTAATGCAAGCATTGCTGATTACACAGGATTGTTCGTAGCTTTTACCTGCGTGCATCATGTCCCGAGCTCTTGGGTATATTTTGGGGGATCCAACTCAGACACGGCCGTGGCTCATACGGACTACGAGTACATTTGCATCGGTGTCCTGACGACGACCGCAAGCAGTTTAAGTGAAAGCAGCAGCACGACCAGGACCAGGAGCAGCACTGCGACCAGCTTGTCAGCGAGCAGCACGAGTGACAGCAGCACTAGCAACACCAGCACGAGCTTTACCAGCAGCACGGCCACCACCACTGTTTCCAGCGCGTCGGGTACCAGCACTACCACGCGCAGCACTACAAGCGCAACCAGCAGCACATCCGCGACCAGCACGACCGCAACAACCAGCAGCACTCGCAGCATCACTAGCACAGCCAGCAGCACCACCATGACCAGCATGACGGGAACCAGCAGCACCACGCACAGCACCACTATCGCAACCAGCAGCACCACCACGACCGGAACCAGCAGCACCACACGCAGCACCACTAGCGCAACTAGTAGCACCTCAGTGACCAGCACGACGGGAACCAGCAGCACCACGCGCAGCACCACTACTGCGACCAGCGGCAGCACCGTGACCAGCACGGCAACCAACACCATCACGCGCAGCAGCACCAGCGCAACCAGCAGCACCACCGTGACCAGCACGACAGGAACCAGCAGCACCACGCTCAGCAGCACCAGCGCAACCAGCGGCAGCACCGTGACCAGCACGACGGGAAGCAACACCATCACGCGCAGCAGCACCAGCGCAACCAGCAGCACCACCGTGACCAGCACGACAGGAACCAGCAGCACCACGCGCAGCAGCACCAGCGCAACCAGCAGCACCACCGTGACCAGCACGACGGGAAGCAGCAGCACCACGCACAGCACCACTACCGCAACCAGCAGCACCACCGTGACAGGAACCAGCAGCATCACACGCACCAGCGCCAGCATAACCAGCAGCACCAGCGTGGCCAGCACGACTGGGACCAGCAGCATCACGAGCTTGTCGGTAACGTTGTCAGCCACGACCACCTTGTACCAGGACTACACGCTGCTTCCCCCTGGCCAGACCTGCTACGAGGCCGGCATGCAGGACGTAACAGGACATGCGGAGTGTTTTGGACCTGCCATGGCGCTACTCGACCTCAGCTCTGCTGCGACGGAGAATTATACTGGAGAGATCATGCCGTTCACTTGCGTGTACGTGGAGGACGCCTCAGCTGTTCACTTTGGGGATTCCACCTCCGAGACAGCCGTGGCGTCCCTGAACTACCAGTATATTTGCGTCGGTGTCATGACGTCGACCGCAAGCAGCACGGTCTCGGAGATAAGCACGAGCGCCACGTCCTCGCTGACGTCGTTGACAGCCACGACCGAGTCGTACAATGACTACACGCTGCTGCCCATTTGGACCGTGAGCAGCACTGTGACCACCACAACGAACACGGCGGCACCATCTCAACTAAGCGGGTCGATTGAGCTCATCGTCGTGGGTACAGACGAGATCCGTAACAGCACGGAGGCAGAGGTGGTGCTAGATTCTTGCGGCCGCACTCTCGCTCAACTCGTGGGCGTGCCAGCGAGCTACGTCAGCGTGGCGTTCGCGGAGTCCCGGAGGCTCAGGGCTGCACCGCGCCAGCTCTCCCAGAGCGTCGTCGAGCTGACATACATTATCCGCGTTCCCGCGGATAGTGACGCTGCTGTGGTGAAGTCGACTCTCGAAAGCATCAGCGTGGACGATTTCGAGGCCATTCTTCAGGACCACATCGACTCGAGCGTCGGGGAGGGCGAGCTCTCCGTCTCCGTGCTCCTGATCACGGGGCCCGGCAGCCTCGTGGACACGGCGGCCGACGCCCCCGCGGCGGGGCCGCACGAGGCCCAGGGCTCGTCCGTGATGGTGGTCGTCTTCCTGACGGTGGGCTGCTACGTCGGCTGTGCGCTCCCGGCCCTGGCGCTGGTCTGCTGGCGCTTCTACCTGCGCGCGGCGCCGCGCGAGGGTCGCGCGCGGGCCGCCCAGGGCCGCGCCTACACCGAAGACGTGCCTGGCGCCGCGCTCGCCGGGGAGCCCAAAGACGCGGTCAAGGCTCGGGGGAGGCGGCCCACTGCGGAGCCCCGCCCGCCGACGGGCCCGAGAGGCGCGCCGACCAGCCCACCCGCCGCGCCGCCCCCGAGCGATCCCGTCCCGAGGTGGCTCGTGCCGCCCGCGCGGGTCGAGATGCCATCCGCTCCCTCTGCCCAGGAGGCACCCGGTTTTCCGTTCTCCGCGTGCTGTAACCCGCACGTGTAGTGTGTAGCCAGAGAAGTTTCGGAGGGCGGCAGTTGATGGCGGAGGTCAGAGGCATCTCTGCCCCTTGACTGTTAGTTAGGTTTCTACAATCGTTTCTGGGGTATTGTTGCGGGCCTGTCACGCGTGGGCAGATCGATGGGGCCCGCCTCGTTCCTCCGCCTCCACCGCCATGTTCGGGTGCAAATCCTGCATGGTTCGTAGCGTGAGCTTGCCCATTGCAGGTTTGGATTCGGTCGTGCCGCCCGTGGTGTTTTGCGTTGAGAGAAAGTACCATCCAGTTTTCCACCGATTGCGCTGCGAAGCTCGCTGAATTTAGCGTAAAGAACCTATCGGCAAAGCCGACAGGTAATCCAGCAAGCAGCTCCTGTTTTTGTACCAGGAAGCTGGGTATGATCAGGGCTCCTCCAGTTTTTTATCACCCGCTCGGTTTTGCCAGGTGTGGTGCAGCGTGCGTGATATCTCGCACCGTGGTAGTTTGTAAAATGCGTTCACATGAACCGCCGCCTCACAAGCAGAAGGGGTTGGGTACGTCCCGTTTAGTTCCTAACATCGGATTTGCGCGATCTGGCTCTTCATATGTTTCCCTACCCTCTTGCGTTGGGTTCTCGTTTTGAGTGGAGCACTGCTCGCGCATCTCCCTCATCCTCTTCCCTCCTCCTCCCCCTCCTTCATCGCCTCGTATCTCTTTCTCCTCCGCCTGTCTCCTCATGCATCCTATGCCCCCTCTGTCGAGGGCTCCTGGGAGGTCCAGCGGAGTCGGGAGGCCACGCGCATCCAGACAGGACCTCGCTGCCCTTGGGTGGCTGCGAGCTGCGCAACCGTCGCCACTTTCGTGGGCTCCTGGAAAGTCCGGCGGAGTCGGGGGCCAGGCGCATACATTTGAGACCTCGCTGCTCCCTGGGTGACCACGAACTTCGCAACTGTCGCCACTTTCGTGGGCTCCTGGGAGGTCCAGCGGAGCCGGGGGCCACGCGCATCCACGCATCCATTCGAGACCTCGCTGTTCCCTGTGCGGATGCGAAGTGCACAACTGTCACCACTTTCGCGGGCTCATGGGAGGTCCAGCGTGGTCGGAGGCTGCGACAGGCGCAACCGTCGCCTTTTGTTCGTGGGCTCCTGGGAGGCATGGCGGAGTGCAACGCAACGTGGGGCATGGGTGGCTGCGAACTGCGCGACTGTCACCAACCGCGTTCATATGAGTAGTCGCCTTGCGTGGAGGAGGGATGAAGTACCGGCTGCGTAATCTGGCCTGGCCTTAGTGTCGGTTGAACGGTTTGCCGACCCTCTCCACCCAAGCGCCGATGTGGGCAAGGGGCAAGGCGGGGGGTGCATATGATCGAGCCCCTAGGAAAGCAGCATTAGTAGTGACAGTAAAGCTAAGCTAAAGCTTAGCTAAGCTAAAGCTAAGCCAGACGACGATAAGATAGGATACTATACGATAGGATATATACAGGATGTGTAATACAATAATATATAGATATACGATGGCATAATATATGTGCTTTGCCGTACGTCGCGCTGTTCAGCAGGGAACCCCTGGGCGGGGCGCACGGGAGAGGAGGATGAGGAGGAGGAGGATGAGAAGGAGGAGGAGGAGGAGGAGGAGGACAAGGGGGAGCGGGGCCAGGGGGTCCAGAGGGGGGGGCGGTTTTCCCGTCGTCCTCAAGTCCTCATCGTTCGTTCTCCTTCTCCTCCTCAATAACTAACAATAATAATGATAATACTAATAACAGTATGTATGTACTGAGCTCAAAGTATGCGTATGGACAATATCAAGGCCGTCTCGGCGCCATCTTAGCCAGTCTTGGGTTAGGTATGTATGTCTTGGGTTAGGTATGTATGTCTTGGGATGCATGGTTTGGGTAGGTATGTCTTGGGTTAGGCAGTTGTGGAGCCATCCTAGGCAGTCTTGGCGCCATGCTAGGCAGTCTTGGGTTAGGTATGCCAGAATTGGGGGATTTGGGAGTTGCCAAATAGGGTTTTGTCCATTGGTATGATATCACGCATCAAGAATCTGATGAGGATTGAGTCGCCGAGACGCGGTTCTGGCTCTCTTGCTGTCATGATTGCACGCGCCACGCCCCGCCGACGCCCGACCACGCCTGCCGTCGGGGAGCGATATTTTGTTGCTTGCTTTGTCATCCCAGCCCTCGCCTTTCAGCTAATTTTTTTCCATCGTATTGAGGCCTCCGGCCGTCCATCAGCCACGCCGCCAGCCCCGCGGGGGGCGCGCCGAAATGAGCAGTCTCCAAAGGTTTCCAGGGGGGCTCCAGGAGGGCCCCCTGCCACCAAACGGCCAGCCCCGCGATCCATGCGAGGGGCGTGCCGAAATGAGCGGCCTCCGAATGCTTCCAAGGGATTCCAGGGTCACCAGCCAGGCGGCGATAAGATAGGATACTATACGATAATATGTATATGAGAAATGTAAGACAATACAAGCTATATAAGATGGCATACTGTATGTGCTGCGCCGTACCTCGCGCCGCTCAGCAAGGGACCCCTGGGCGGGGCGCGCGGGAGAGGAGGATGGGAAGGAGGAGGAGGAGGAGGAGGAGGAGGAGGAGGAGGAGGACAAGGGGGAGCGGGGCCGGGGGGTCCAGAGGGGGGGGGCGGTTTTCCCCTCGTCCTCAAGTCCTCATCGTTCGTTCTCCTCCTCCTCCTCCTCAATAAGAATATTAATAATGATAACGATAATACTAATAGCAGCGTGTATGTCTTGAGCTCAAAGTATGCGCATAGACAATATCAAGGCCGTCTTGGCGCCATCTTAGCCAGTCTTGGGTCAGGTATGTATGTCTTGGGTTGGGTCTGTATGTATTGGGTCGCATGTCTTGGGGATGTATGTCTTGGGTCAGGCAGTTTTGGGGCCGTCCTAGGCAGTCTTGGCGCCACTGATGGCAGTCTTGGGTTAGGTATGCCAGAATTGAGGGATTGAGAGTTGCCGAATAGGGTTCTGTCTATTGGCATGATATCACGCATCGAGAATCTGAGGAGGATTGAGAGTCGCCGAGACGCGGTTCTGGCTCTCTTGTTGTCATCATGATTGTACGCGCCACGCCCCACCGACGCCCGACCACGCCTGCCGTCGGGGAGCAATATTTTGTTGCTTGCTTTGTCATCCCAGCCCTAGCCTTTCAGCTGACTTTTTCCCATCGTATTGAGGCTTCCGGCCGTCCATCAGCCACGCCGCCAGCCCCGAGATCCACGCGGTGACTGGCGTGTCGAAGCGAGCAGTCTCCAAAGGTTTCCAGGGTGGCCCCAGGAGGGCCCCCGGCCACCAAACGGCCAGCCCGGCGATCCATGCGAGGGGCGTGCCGAAATGAGCGGCCTCCGAATTCTTCCAAGGGATTCCAGGGTCACCTGCCGGACGACGATAAGATAGGATACTACACGATACGATGTAAATAAGATATGCCATACATTATCAGATGTATAAGATGGCAAAATATATGCGCCGCGCCGCACCTCGCGCCGCTCAGCAGGGGACCCCTGGGCGGGGCGCACGGGAGAGGAGGATGAGAAGGAGGAGGAGGAGGAGGAGGAGGAGGAGGAGGAGGAGGAGGACGACAGAGGGGGGGGCGGTTTCTCCCTCGTCCTCAAGTCCCCATCGTTCGTTCTCCTCCTCCTCCTCCTCCTCCTCCTCCTCCTCCTCCTCCCCAATGAATAACAGTAGTAGTAGTAGTAATAATAATAATAATAATACGAATGACGGCATGTATGTCTTGAATTCAAAGTTTGCGTATGGACAATATCAAGGCCGTCTTGGCGCCATCTTAGCCAGTCTTGGGTCAGGTATGTATGTCTTGGGTTGGGTCTGTATGTATTGGGTCGCATGTCTTGGGGATGTATGTCTTGGGTTAGGCAGTTTTGGAGCCGTCCTAGGCAGTCTTGGCGCCACTTTAGGCAGTCTTGGGTTAGGTATGCCAGAATTGGGGGATTGAGAGTTGCCGAATAGGGTGCTGTCTATTGGCATGATATCACGCATCTGAGGAGGATTGAGAGTCGCCGAGGCGCCTCTCTTGTTGCCATGATTTAACTCACCACGCCCAACCGACGCCCGACCACGCCCAACCACGCCGTCGGGGAGCGATCTTGTTGCTTGTTTTGTCATCCTAACCCTCACCTTTCAGCGGACCTTCTCCATACTATTGAGGCCTCCGGCCGTCCATCAGCCACGCCGCCAGCACCGAGATCCACGCGAAGGGCGCGCCGAAATGAGCAGTCTCCATAGGTTCCCAGGGGGGCTCCAGGAGGGTCCCCGGCCACCAAACGGCCAGCCCCGCTTTCCATGTGAGGGGCGTGCCGAAATGGGCGGCCTCCGAATGTTTCCAAGGGGTTCCAGGGTCACCAGCAGCCAGACGGCGAGCCCCGCGATCCATGTTTGTTTTTGGCTCTGGTCTGATTTCTTCGCCCCCCAATGGCGTCGCCGACCGCCAAGCACCAAGCATGGCTGGACTTGGAGATCGGCTTCTGACGGTACTGTTTGACGACGGTGACGCGCCAGCACTTGTTGTAGCTGGCGCGCCAATGACAGGTGAGCTTGGAGACCGGCTCCTGGCAGATCTGCTGGATGGCGATGATGACGTAGCGGCTGCGTCGGCACCGAGCGGAACGGTTGCACTGGCCGACGCATTGGACGCGTTGGCTGCTGGCGATGGCCTTACAGTTGGCGAGGCTGCTGGTGAGGAGGCTGGCCCCGCGGCTGGACCGCTGGCGCCAGTTGCTGCTGGCGAGGCTGGCGAGTTGTGGCTTGCCGCGGCTGCCGATGCTGGACTTCTTGCGGTGGCTGGCGCGGCTGGCGAGTTATTTCGACCGCCAGCGCCAGCAGCTGGCGAGGCTGGGCCTGCGCCGGCTGGCGAGGCTTGCGAGGCTGGGCTGGCGGCGCCAGCAGCAAGTGGCGAGGCTGCTGGCCCTGCGGCGACGGTTGCTGGTGGTGATGATGATGAGCCTGGTCCTCCTGCTGCTGGCGAGGCCGGCGAAGCTGGGCTGCCGGCGCCGCC